CAGAAGTGTGTCAAACAAAGGAAGAAGAAGACAGACATTCCTAATACCCCGCCAGCATYGATTACTTCTCCAAATGGCGAAGGATTGACTGGCAGGCGGCACAACCTCGAAAACCCTAACCGCGTTTCGATCCTCATACATCAAAGTGCGTCTGCCATGAAATGCAAGTTGTCAAACACGAAGGACGAGCTCACTGTTCCATGCGAAGGCGGAACGCGTCACGGAGAGCGAGAGCGGCCTCGGTAACGCCGGCCTGGGACACTGGATGGATCAGGTTCTGCAGACCAAGGTCAATCAGAACTGGATTCCCGTTCGAATCAGGTTCCATCATAACCCCTCGTCCATGTCAATACCAGCCTCGAGGAGAAGATTGTGCACGATGCACACGGATAAACTGTTGAGGGAGGTTTTCCATGTTCGTCTTGTGGTGACGAAGGAATAACCTCCACGTACCCTTCATCCTTCCAAACGCCCTCTCCACCACCCCTCTCATCGTTTTCTGCCTTGTGTCGAATAGGGCGACGTTCTCGGTCTGGTTCAAGCCCCCGTAAGGAACTACAATCCACGTACGTGGAGCGTAACCGTTGTCCCCGAGCAGGTAACCTGTAGTTGTGACACCACCTGGTTGGGAGACCACGTCAGCGTTGAAAATGTCCCCTCCTTCGGCGCGTTTGAAGAGAGACAAGTTCCGTAGAACGCGCGCATCGTGGACGCTCCCGGGTAACCAGCGAAGACGTCCAACACGCGCATATGCAAGTCCACGACAACCTGCGGCGCTGCACCACCACTGAGAATTGTTGTTAACTTTGCGATCGAAGTAGTTCTCGGATGGTCCATTTGCAGGTTTATCGACATAAATGTGGGTGCAATCGATTGCACCCATGCAATTGGGGAAACCCTTTGCCGCGAAAGCACGCAGAATTTGGAGAAGACGTCTGCCTGTCGGCATGGCGATCTTGTCCGGGTAGGCTGCCAAGATGGCGCTTGTCACGTCCCTCACCACGTTGTTGCCAGTTGCCCTTCCAATGCCGAACGCTGACGTGCTGTTCTCGTAAGTCTCACCCCTCGCCCACCTATACAGCGCGTACGCGACTTTGTGGTGCAGCTGGAGCGGCTCGCGGTAGTGGGTTAGCTGACGTTGAAGGAAAGGAGCGCAGGCGGCGACGATGTCATTGAAGACGGTCCTCCACATGCGCAGCTTGTCATGATAATAGTCCGCTGTCGCATCATCTGAGATGACGAGGTCGTTCCATGTGCCGCCTGTCCTGCGCTTCACCCACCATTGCAGAGTCTCTCTCGGCAGCACCCCTGTGGTGATGGCATTGTTGAGGAGGAATGGCGCATCCCAAACACTCGGTGAGGAATGCACGTCCAACAACGCCTGCCCGATGGCCGCCTCCCTAGTCGTCTTCTGTCTGGCAAAACCCTGCAGCACACTGTTCACAGTCTGAAGATGGCGGCACACCACGACCAATGATGCCACCAACAAACTCTTCTCCTGGACTGCCAGTTCCCTTCACTTCCGTCCCTCCGCCCCCGTGTGCTCCATTGTTGACGAACACCGACTGACGTGTCTCCGCTCCCGTGCGCGACGTGTTGCGGTTGTCATCGCTCACAACGATGGCCGTCCTAGCTTCACTTACTCCACAAGGGCTTGGACACCATGACCGCAGCTGTTATGTAGGATATGGGGCACGCTCGTTTTTCTGCTTCACGGTGGCGGCGGCCGCTGAACACGAGACCGGTTTTGAATTTCAAATGGAGCGGAGTCGGAGAGGCATTTTGGCGGGCATCCTGGGGTTAGGAAGGAGGAACGGGTGGCCTGCGCCGTCGAGCTCAAATCCAAACCTAACTTGTCCCATGGGCCCAAAACGGCCAGACAACATTCCGTCCAGCATTGCTGCTGGCAGGACATTCCAAGCCGCGCCCGAGGGGTCCGAAAGGCACGACCTCAGCACACAGAAGTGCGCTGTTTCCAAGTGTTTTCCCAAGGGGTAGTGGAACAAAAAAACGAGTTAGGGGAAATTAATCACCTCCCCCGCCCAAGGGCGCCCTTGAAACTCAAGTATTTTCAATTGGTGTCGAACGAGGCCCTATGCCCGGAGAAGTTGTGAGAACCCAAGTCCGCAAAATATGTGGATTTGGGAAGGGCCGATTTGGGCATGGTTCACGTCACACTGCTGTACCTTTTCAGCTGGGACAAGGTCGCGGTCGTCTGGAGAAATGGAGATTTGGTACTTGGCTCGTCACACGACGCCGTCCACAAATTGTGCCAGAGTTTTTGTGAACGAAATTTTGCCAATTTTCGAAGAAAATGCCGAAAAAAAAAAGACAAAAGAAAATGTCAAAAAATAAATAGGGCATTTGGGTTCACCTCTTGCGCCGCGGCTTCCCAGTCCGCTGCCAAATGGGCACACCAATAGTACATTCGGTACTTCGGCAAGTCTGTGTGATCGGTCCGCTACCTTTTTTGGGGGGATTTAGGAGTATAGGGCCCTCGATGCACTACTCTGAACATGCACAAATTCGATTGGAATGAAACTCACACAGGTAAGAGTATTTGAAAACTCTGACACAGCCAGAAGAACCTCAATTTTGATATTTGACAATCGTAAGCCAGTCTCGCAGATGCGTATTGATCCAAACCAGTGGGCATGGAGGGCTAAAGGAAAGCAAGAGGAAAACGTGAGCTTAATTGATTATCATCAAAGACTTGGCTATCACCTAGTTGTTCCAATGAAGTGCCCAGAAGTGATAGCCAGATCTCGCTGGGCCAGATTGCTAGATATAGAGGGGGAAGAAGTGGGAAAAGCATTGGAGAAATGCTGGGAACAGTTGAAACTTATTGCCTGCCAACGACAGGCTGCCACCTTGTGGCTGTTGTCCCTTGTGGCAACTCCGTCGGCGGTTTGGCTCGCCGAACATGGGCTTAACATTGATTTAACATGTGTGAGATGTGGCTGCGCTTTCAAATCCACCATTCACCTTTGGTGGGATTGCCCAAGGTGTGTGAGACTCTGGAAATGGATCGCTTCTATATGGGACAGAATCTCGGGCCCAGCCTTCCCATGGTCGAAATTGTGGGTTCTATTGGGAGGCATTCCAGATGGTTTTCCTATTGCCAAGGGTTGGGGCTATGTAGCGTAGACCATACGGGCAATGGGTATCTCAGTTATCTGGTAGGAACAGAATGATAGAGTATTTGAGAAGAAGGACTGGTCCAACAAACAGGCAAGAGCCACCTTTCTGAGAATTCTCAAGATTGCAATATTGGCAGACTGGCGGCGAAAAGTGACTACCTCTGCTACAGATTCGTGTGGTTTGGGATAGTTCTGTGAAACGTGGTGTCTCCAAAACTCGATTGCGTCGATTGAGAGTTCCGAAAGACCATCTCTGAAGGATTGGTTGTTTAAGGAAGAAACGTAATAGCTATGGTACAACAACAAACCTGATTCGCTCGGGCTCGGTCGCGGGTAGACAGGCGGGGGGAGTGACCGAGGTGGGAGCTTGATATGTCCTTTGCCAAGGATCCTTGGGGTTCCTTGTGGTCGCTTTTAGACCACTTATAACATAGATTAGTAATGCAATTGGAACAAGTTAGGTATAGATAATAGATAGGCCACAAGACTCTACTGTTCATTCTTAAGGTGGTAAATTATTGAGTTTTTGTTCCCAGCGCAATTAGTGTTGATTCTTTTGTTTTTTGAAAACTTGTTTGTAATAGGATAGTAGGCAGTGTATCTCTCTGGTAGTCTCCTTCGTTTTTGCTTTTGTTGGTTCAGATCATTTTTTGGATTGTTCGGTTTTTCTTCGCCTTGAAGGATTGATTTTCTTTTTTTTTCTTTTTTTCATTGGGTTAGAAGCTCAGTGCAGCGGTCTGGAGTTGGCAATTCCTTCCCAAAAAAAAAAAAAAAAAAAAGTTGGCCATTCCTACAGCTGGAGCCATTCTAACGCCAAACATTTCAGCGGGGTAAAGGTCCCAAGTCCCTATTATGGCATGAGTCTCCGGGTTGTTTATAGAGGATTGTGGACCTCTCTTGGACTATTGTTCTGCTAATGACAATTACCTATTTTTGTAAAAARAAAAAAAAAAAAAAGGAATACCAGGCGATTCATAGCCTGTTAAAGGAGGACCTTGCCTGAAGACTGTTGCAGGATGGTAAAATTCGAAACACGGAACTTGGGGAGAGGATTTGTACACCAGTACCTTGTTTGTGGAAGCCCCTATATGCGCATAGTACTGTTAATCCTTTTGTTAGTAGGTACAGTGTCAAAGGAAGTCAGAGAAGTCAAGATGGGGGAAGCAGGACCCTCGTTAACGAGRAGTTCTCCACTCCCTCCTCGAGACTCCTCTAACCCCCCGAACACCCCTTTTACGAAGAGGATACAACCTGAATCCGTGAAACGCTCAGCAAATGCTACACGGAGGGTATCGTGCCAAAGAAGCTCGCCCCCAATTTAGTTGAGAGGGGTGATAACTACATGAAGGTTAAAGTGAATAGAGATCTGTATAAAATCCAACTCCAATCGTTGAAGGACCATGCAGTATTCGTATTTTTTGGCGATGATTCTACTTCCCTTCCGGTAGGAGTGAAAAGAAAACTGGTGCGTATCTATGAAGACGGATGGGCTTCGGCCAAATCCATAAATGCTCCTCCATTAAGGGGACTGGTGACGTATGTGGTCGCGTCACTAGAAATAGCTACGTGGATGAGATCGAAGATGCAGTCAAACGTGGAATTAGACAAGAAAAAGTACTCGCTCAAATTCGACCTATGGATGACAGAAAAACAGTTAATGGAATGGAGAGAAGCGATGAGACTCCCATACTTTTGGGTGAGATGTTTGCAGGTACCTGTTTCAGTCATGGCACTGCTCCAAGGAGTGGTAGAGAATGCTTTCGGTAGTATCATGCAAACATACTCTCCGTACAAAGTGAGAGGAGCCCTTGAACTTCAGGATATTAGATTCGAACTAATTCCATCAGCAAAAACACGATTCCAGGAAACTCTGATTGTCGATTTAGAAGAGGATGGAGTGGTAGAAGTAGAGCTGGTTTGTGCAAACACTCCGTGGTGTGAATCCTGCAGATGCTTCTACCACTGGTCCTCTGATGAATCTTGCCCCTCCAAACCCAGGACCAAGGATCAACAGAACGATCCAGCGCAAAACGAACCGAAAGAAGATGAAGTCCGGGAGAAGGAAGGAAAGGCAGATCCTCCGGATGGGTCAAATGGAAAGGAAACGACTAAAACAAAGGAGAGGGAGGAAGAAAAGGACGAGGGTGAGAAAGAAGGAGGAAAAGAGAAGGTGGAGGAAAAGAGGCATGGAAGGGGGAAGGGGAAAAATGGAAAAGGCAAAAAGAGGGGCAAACAGAGGAAGGTTGTAGGCTTATTGAAGAAGAAATGGGTGAGTAAAGGTGTGAAAGCAGGAGAAAGGAAAGAGAGCATGGAGGAGGAGAAAGACAATCAGAATGAAGGGAGAAAAGCAGAGAAAGATTTGTCAAAGGACGATGAAGACACAGCGATAAAGATGGACGAAGTCTCTTCAGAGGCAAGCGACAGTGAAGGAAGTACAAAGGAAGAGGAGGATAGAAGCGGGACCGATGGAGGGAAAGATTTGCAGTCCAGGGAAAATGAAGGAAAGGGGGAACGAGAGGAGGGAGAGGAAAAGGACTCAGAAGGAAAAATTCTGGAGGAAAAAGGGGATAGTGAAATGGTGGTGGAGGAATCGAAAGGGGAGGGTAAAAGTGTGCTAAACGCTAACGCAGCAAGTGCCTCACTCTTAATTTCGGTAACAGTGGTGGAAGAAACGATAATGAAAGTTCCTGAAGAGTGGAGTGTTTTTCAAGTACCGGAAAAACCTGCAGAGAATCCCTTCACAGATGCACAAAACCAATTGGGCTCAGAAGAGATTTCACAAATGAGAAATGAAGCAGAGGTGGCCCCCCCTTTTGTGGGAACAGAAGGGGAAAAAAATGCCCTTCATTCAAATCAGGCAGGCGTGGTGGAATCCCCATTGAATTTCCCTGTGAAACGCTCCCTGCGTGGTTACTCACGTTCTAGCTCAACAGCTAATAAGGACTCAACCTATCTTGGTTATTCAAGGAAGAAAGCGAAACTTAGTGAAACGCAGGCCAAATCCACATGCAACACTGATCCGACACTGGAGCCATTGGATCAAACGCATAAGGAGACAGCCAGAAAGAAGAGGTCACATGCTGAAAAGATAATTCATCAAGCCCTCTCAATGACAGCTCGTATGAAAACTCTTATGAGACAGGAAAAGAAGAGTCAATTAAAGGTTCCGATGAAGGAAATGCTAGTTCATCTAATCCTGTCGCCATCCCCCCAGGGGGTGATAGTGTTGACAAAGCTAACAGACAAGGAGGAGTTAGAACTCCCTACAATCCCAGTGTCCTGCCAACCAATGGAAGAGGAAGCTCGAAAGTTGGCAAAACGCAGGGTGCGGAATGACACATCTTTTGTATGGCTATACATAAAGTGGGCAACTCATATGAAAGGTGAAGTGCTCTCAGAGCACATTGGTGCCCCCTATTAGACTTTACACTTAATAGGGTAGACGCAGTTTCAAATATGAAACTTTCCGAAGGTCTAACGGGGAAAGAGGTGGCAGACCGGATCAGATACGCGAATATGCAGGTTCGTCTGAGTGAGGATATGCTATTCAGAAACCTGCACGAGATGCATGACAATCTGGTTCTGCCCTCGTCCTCTAAGTCCATGAAAAGCGAAAGCCGTATCCAACAAACAGACGACGCAGGACTCATTAATGGTCTTGCCCAATAAGATATGGATTGCTTCATGGAATATTAGAGGACTTGGGGACACATCTTTTTCTGATAAAAAGCCACAGTTAAAGAATTGGCTGCACTCAAATGCGGTCCACATCCTGGTGCTACAAGAAACGAAGTTAGGCCCGTCCAAGATTACGGACATAGCCGGATGGTGGGAAGGACCGCAATTCTGGGCTCCTGCAAATGGAACCCGGGGCGGTATAGCGATTCTAATTAACAAGGATCTAGACTGTGTAATTGTGGACTCATGCGTAGACTCGGGTGGTAGATGGGTTTGGGTAAAAATCGCACTGGGTTCTGAAGATTGGGGCATTATGTCAATATATGCCCCAGTTATGTATCATGAGAGGATCGAATTCCTGACAAACCTCCCTGCGATTATCTCGGACACAGAGGATTTGATACTGTTGGAAGACTGGAATACAATATTCAGTCCGGGCTTAGATTCTTTAATTAATTCCCCGTTAAGGAATGATTCCTTAATTCTTTCTTCTTTCAAAGAATCTCAGAGTTTGATTGATATTTTTAGGGAGCTTAACCCAGAAGACCCTAGCTTTACTTGGTACGGCCCGAGACCAAAACCCCTCATTCCTCAACCGAGGAAAAGGCTGGATTTTATTTTGGCCAGGGGAGCGCCATGGGACAGGTGCATGTGGTCTGATCTGAAAGCGGCAACATACTCAGACCACTATCCTGTTCTGATGGATGTCATTTCGAGTGAATCCATAGAGAAACACAGACCCCTGTTCAGATTAAATGTGAATAATTTACAGGATGAGGGGATAACAAA